ACACCCACTAAGCATAGCTTTCCTATCCTTATCTAATAATAAGTAGTATATTATATATATATATTTCCAGTCGTCCCAGTAATGATTCTAATTACTGATTTCTTTCTCTGACCATCATCTAAACATTTTAACCACATTCTTCCTGAAATCAAACTGACTGCTGTCAGCATGCCCATCATTCTAATTACAGTATAAAGCATCCGTCTACTGTGACAACAGTACAGCTGACAGTGTTGTAGGACCTTTGTGTAATGATTCCACCTCCCGATCCAGCTCCAGGCTCTCGGTGTGCGTTTGGCTCTCGAACACTACGTCTCTGTTCCCACAAAGACTGAAGTCACCGTTGAACCTTGAGATCTCTTGAAGGAAGTTTTCCTCTTCTTCTTCAGACTGCCGCTTTATCTTGACCTGGTGTGAAAAGACAGATCACGGGAAACGCTTCCAACAATAATAAGAAAGCAGCTGCTAGAATAAATGATGAATTGATTATTCAAAAACTTAAAAAAGACACACCATTTGGTTATCAAAATATGTGTATTCATACTACACATAACATGCTGTAAGATGTAAATATCGATTCAGGCTTCAACCCACCAGACGTTCCCTTCGTTGGCTTCTCTGGCAGAGCAGCTCCCCAATTTGCTTCAACATCTGCTCCTCGCATTTCTTCATCAGGCCGTGCTGCAGCCTCATCGTAGACAACTGCTGAGCCTGGAACACAAGGAGATGAGTGGGCAGGTAAGAAACACAACCCGACAGACAGACGTACTGAGAGGGACAAGCATGTCCGTGATCCCACAGAAGGAGAAATTAGATGAAATGAATTATGGACAGCTGGTAAAATCATGTAAAAGGTGACATGTTGGTGAGCCTTCCTGGGTAAATAAAAAATGTCTTTGACTACTTTTAACCTATGTCTCAAGATGTCTCTTCGTTTGAAACATCTCTCTCTTTCTATATGTGTATATATCTCAATACACTTTCAAACTTTTCTTGTTTACTTCCCTTTGCTTCTCATCCTCCTGTGATTATATGGTACAGCCCAAAGGATAGAAGAGTGCCAAATTACGTAGGGGGGCGCCTTTTAAAGATGCCTCAGTCATTACTTTCCGTACAGTTTTCCATCTGTTACTCGAGCTGTCAAGGAAGTGAGTTTATTGTTTCCTATGTGGTGGTGTACGTTTTTTAGCGAGCACAATCAGATTCCAAGTTTTCTAAACAGTGTAATTATCTTAAGACAGCTCTCATAAACTGGGAGATGTTACGTCATGAGAACTGTAAACACACTGTGCTGTAAACACTCCCTGCATATCTGATGTAAACAGCTCCAATATTCCACCCTGAAGGGGGTCAGAAAAAGGTATCACAGTCCTGTGTCCTCAGGCAGATAATACTCAGACAGACATGGCCTTGTATTCAGCAACCTTTACTAATAAGAGCGTAATCTGCTCTTTTGAGCGGATGTCCACTTATACGAGCGCAGGAAGAAGTGAGCAATATTTCTGAGGGGTCAACGGGCCTGCCTTTGACATCATATCTCACACATGCTGACAGGTTTCACTAATGTTATCCGGTGGAAATTAGCCATTGATCTGCAGTGGCACTTGCAGTTTGAACTGTTGATGGAAACGAATGGGAGAGATTAAGTGTTTTAAATCATAAAGCAGATCAGCTCATCAATATGCCGATATGCACTTCTTTACCTCATATGTCAACACCACTAATACTGTATGCAGCCCCAAGGTACAGCAGTTATTGCTGATTGTATTTGTTTATCTTTGCATTTACTTTTTATCACAAGTAAAACGTGACACATTTAAAGCAACATCAAACAATCCCCGTTTTATAAATGCATCCCGGATGAGCAGTAAAAGTATATCTTTTACTCCCGACACAATGGACAAAATAGTCAAATATTAACCAATACTTCATGATGTGACTGCTGCTTAGGCAAGAAGCCCAGATGAACATTTACTGCGTCTAGAGGCACAGTTCATGGTCAGAATAAATGATATGCCACCGTGCAAATGAGGATAAGGCTGTGCAAATATCAGGCTTTTTCACCAGCGAGCTGCCATGAAACAGGCAATAGTCACATTCACCTCTTTAAAATTATTATTAAAATAATAATTGGTGAAACATGTTAAAGCCATCACAATTATAAACCCATTAAAATGTTAAAATCCACTAAAGTTTATTATAGGGCACCATTTTGTCAGACAACTTTGGTAATATGTTCAAACTCAGCCTGCCAAAATCATTAATATACCAAAAGACAAGACAGATATTGAACACTGCGTCATGACTGCTCCTCCAGTCACAAAAAAATATTCATAATTCACACATTAGCAACAAGTACAGGAGAAAAAGCTAATTGTGTCATGGCGTCACCTTTTTATCGAGTTCCTCACTGGTCTTTTCATTCTTCTCTGTGGTGCTCTTGATCTTCTCATTACATCTGATGATGGCTACTTTGACTGAAATACAAGATAAGGAATAAGCCAATGAGAGAAACGCACCTTAGATAATGTAAATGTGGGTTGAGAAAGAGGGAGGTTGGGCTAAATATTCATATTGCTAACCCGGCTAGGTAGCATTGTAGCTAGTCTGCCAATGTTAGGTAAGCTAATGCTATAGCTTGTTTTGCTAGCTGAAATGTATATTCATACCTTCTTTGATTTTTTGTGTCTGTTCAGTTAACTGTTGTTCAGTTTGAAGGATTTGTTGGAACAGTGTGTCTAAACTCATTTTTAGTCAATAAGTGGCATAATAAAGTGACCTAGAATCAATAGAGGAAGATATCGCACTGTATAGTGTTGACTAGCTAACACCTAGTTAGTCTCCCGTGACTAGTTACGCTAACGTAACGTAAACTACGCCTATGACGCAGCTTCGAGGAAACAACCGCCAAAGCTGCGTCAAATGCGTAGTTTACGTCTACTTAGTTACGTTATGATTTACGTCTACTTAGTTGCGCTAACGTAACTAAGTGGACGTAAACTACGCCTATGACGCGGCTTTCAGGAAACGGCTGACACTGACCGGTTGGTTTGATCTTTGCACGCATTGCTAATATGACAAACATTGCTCATAAACAATGAGCCATAGTCATTTATTTTGTCAAGTGACTGCTTTGAGAGTCACTAACGTTACCCCCCTTTTAATATATATAACGTTATATATATATATATATTTTTTAAGTTACACTGTCATTGATCAGTCCAGTACCCACTTAATTGTGGGACTGTTGAACGTAATGGAGTGCTGTTTAGGCACAGTCAGCTTTCTCAACACTACTCCATTGAGGCTCGCTGCTCACATTTGTCACAAAAAAATATCCTGACTTTGACCAATTTTCTCGTTTCACCACTTGCACAGGAAAAAAAAGAGCTTCTGATCCGGTGCCATGAGCCACATTACCGTGTGAAACGATAAATGACCCGAAGGACTACATCACTGTGACACGCATTTGCAAAATTAATATCACATATTGATTAAGGCTTTTCATAAATCACCAGACTGACTGGCAAGGCTCCCTTTGGAGACTTAAAAACAGCAAAGTCATCAAATTGTACGCAGACAATTATCCCAGATAGCAGCCTCAGCCTGTCGTTCATTTGTGCCCATTTTCTGTCTCTCCGCCTGTCATGTTCCCTGCAAAAAAAGAATGAGCTGCGGACATTGGCCTGTGGCGTATCTATTTAACAAAATTGAAAGCCATTTTGAAAAGTGCCTGTACCTTGCAGGACTGATTCATCACACCTACCTAATCACAGCTTCCTTTTCAATAAGGGAGTATTCACTGGCGTTTAAATAAGCTATTTCATCCCATCTCTGAATGAAGCTGCCCTCTCCCTCTCTCTCTGTATGTGTGTGTGTGTAAGGGTTGACTTACTGTGGCAGACGCCAGCATATCCTTGATTGATTCAGCCCAGTCTGTAATGCAGAGAGGGGCTCATTGACATAGTCTGGTCATTTAGCCAAGTGGATCAGCCTCTGAATACACCATATAGGCAATCAATGAGCTGTAGGAAGAGGCATGGCGCATCATCCCTGTTATTATAATCATGCTCTGTTGCTCTGTTAAAAAAAATGCCCGAGCCATTTGACAAGACATTGATGAAACAAGAGGTATTTGAAATGAGATGCTCATTATTTACTAACATGAGATATCGAGTGTGAAGCGTGGTGTTTGAAAGAATAACAATCTTTGCTTTTTTTGAATAGTGACCTTTACTTTGAAACCACCAACAGATGGCGACAGCCACACGGTGTCCACTCTGCTCTGTGTGGACAGAGAGCGCTGTCTGGGTGCTGCAGCTGACAAGTATAGGCCCGTATTTTGTAGAGGCTAAATGTTTTATTTAAAGTGTTTCATCATATAATACCTATCCGCCTAGTCTCGTCACAGGTGGCGGATAATGTTGCATAAGAATGTTTGTCATTTTGCAAATGGGATTAACGTTACAGCTAGCTGGGAGGAGCCACGCGCATCAATTGGCATGTCATGAATCAGGCAACTTGCAGGTGAAATATGTCTATTTATTTTTAAATTTTTAAATTGCCATGAGCTACTCCACGCGCTGCTACAGTCTACTAATCACGTCATGAAATGAGTCATGCTCTTCCATAGTTAAATACTGAGAAAAAAAAACATGGTTTCATTTCATCAACCACGTGCCCTCTGTGGTTACATGTGGCCCGTTTATGTTTTAATGGACTGGAAAAGTGATTACTATTTATCCTTTTTTAATTTCTTTACTCTGAGTAGGAAATGTTTTATTAAAAGTAAACATCATTAACACACTGTAATAACCCCAAAGAGAGTTGGAGTGAGCGTACAACTCAGCAGTGACGGTACCATCACTGTGCTGCATGCACCCATTGGGACCTAGATTTTTCCGGTGCTCATTAGTGAGTTAAGTGAGCTTAAAGCTACTTATTTATTTTCTGTGCTGCCGTTGTAATATTACCGTAATAATGGGTTGAGTTCGCTGATAGGAAGGTCTATCTTTGTACATTTATTATAAGATAACTGTACTTTAGCGGCGAGTGTGTGTGTGTGTGTGGGGGGGGGGGGCTCTCTCCTCGTGCTGAATGCGCTGCAGACAGCCAACACGTTGGGCTCCAGTTGGCTGTGCGCGCTCAGACGCAGACGCACAGACGCAAGCATCCCGCTGGCTGGAGTTGGAGGACACTCGCCCGTTTCGCCTCCACCGCAGGTCTGATCCCTTTGTCTCCCGGCGGTGAGAAGACCACCCGCACGGGAGGAAAAGAACGAAGAAGAAGAAGAAGAAGAAGAAGAAGAAGAAGAAGAAGAAAGAACAAATGAAACACTTCTTTTGACTGAGAGTCCAATAAACTGCAGAATCGGGACTGGACACTTTTTTTTTTTTTTTGGAGAGGTGGTGGGGGGGGGAGGAATTATTTCTCACATGAGGCGAGCCGGATCCGTTTTGTACAGCGGAGCGCGCACTGCTGCGTCTTTCCAATGGATTTCAGTACAGTGGAAGTACCCTGGGAATCAAACTACTGTTAAGTCGCTTTTAGCTCGCGAGTTTCGTTCCAACAAGGGTTTATGTTTCACAAGAAGAGAAGGACGATGATCCTCCAAGTGCTGTACGTCCTTCTGCCTCTTTTTGGTAAGTTTCACGAGATGTATTACCACCAACAGCTGTCCGTTTGATACCAATACATCCCGTAGGCGCGTGCGGTATTTAGTGGCTAAATTGCGAAATGAGGGGGGGGGGGGTGCAGTCCGGCAGAGACAGTGGCTGCTCGCTGAGAGTCATAAGGTGTGGAGGCTACCGTGGTCCAAAGTGCTCTAAATAACAAAGTCAAGCTGGAGCTGCCTCATCAAACAATAGTGAAGGTGACAGCAAATCTTCACTCTTATCAATCTAAACCTCTGCAAACTAGCTGCATCACGAAGTTATGAAGTAGTACCAACTGCTTTCAGTCAGTTGTTACTCGCGGTGCAGCCTATACATTCTCCACGGAGAGTGTTGATAGTCTATAAAAAACTCTGCAAGCCGAGGCATTATTATGCTTCACTTTTATTATTATTATTGTTATTATTATGATTATTATTAGAAGTGTCACTTCTGTTTCCAGATGTGTTGTCGTACGCTGAGGAGAACGTGCGTGCCGCGGCCACCCGGCTGGACTGCGTGCGGGCCAGCGAGCAGTGCCTGAAGGAGCAGGCGTGCAGCACCAAGTACCGCACGATGAGGCAGTGCGTGGCCGGCGGCAAGGAGAGCAATTTCAGCATGGTGTCCGGCCTGGAGGCCAAGGACGAGTGCCGGAGCGCCATGGACGCGATCAAACAGAGTTCCCTGTACAGCTGCCGGTGTAAAAGGGGCATGAAGAAAGAGAAGAACTGCCTGCGCATTTACTGGGGGATCTATCAGACGTTACAAGGTCGGTTTGATGCTTTCTGTTGTCAAAAAAAAAATACACACTTACTCCTTTAGCAGATTTTGATTAAGAATGGTGTGATATCATTAATCAGAGTAAGGTATTTGTGTAAAGGTATATTAAAGAATTAACAATAGTACAATATTTGTCCTTTTTGCTAGGGGGGTGTGCTATAAAACATCTGCTTAAGTCCCTCAGTGGTCTTTGTTTGGGTGGACTGCTACATTTACAGTATGCCCTGCAGCTATTAATGTGAAATGGGCATTCTCCATAGGTTGTCTAATCTGCTCAGTAGAGGGGTGAGGGGGATTAGTTGGCCCCGGCTCCTCCCACTGTTGTATGGAGTGGGCACTGTCAGTCCTCCCCCTCCCTCCCTTCCTCCCCCCTCCCCTTCCAGCTCTATGACCCTCCCCATCCCTGCTACACCACAAACACAGAAACTCCAAAAAGTAGCACACAGCTTTTTATATATTAGCAGTCCAATGCGTTCACGGACGATCACTCAGCTTTTACTCAAATTCGTCCCCCGATTCGGTTCACCGCCATGAGATACTGTTTGACCTCCCAAATCACTTTCCTTGAAGGTAATGGAGCGTGCAGCCCCTCAGCGCTGGCACTGCCATCTTTAAGTGTTGATCATAGCAGGGTGGGGGGGGGGGGGCTTTTAGTCCCTAAACTGCATCCAGCCCGTTGCCAGTGGGTCGGCTTCCAGTTGCGCAACACAGCTGACCAACCTGCCTAATCAAGCGTGGGGCTGTGTGCTAGCGTGGATATCGACTGACCCAAATAACCCGTGTCACTTGCAGGCTAATGTGAGGGGTGAAAGATGAAAAACACAACAGGAGGGTGTTCAAAACAGATCTATCTATCTATCTATCTATCTATCTATCTATCTATCTATCTATCTTTCTATCTAACTATCTAACATCTGCTTGTCTTCATCACAGGTAATGACTTCTTGGAGGATTCTCCGTACGAACCCATGAACAGCCGTCTATCTGACATTTTCCGCCTGGCTCCCATCATAGGTAAGAATTAAAGAAATCTGTTCCTGTGGAGGCTTTTCACTCTGTCCCTTCGGATTTATTTTTGTTATTTTTAGTTTGCCATTGGTCACCCATCTCAGTTGAGATAGGATTAAGCTCCAAGCTGTGCATGCTCTCACCGAAGGTTATCTGTGTGTATCCTCCCTCATCCTCTCCGCTATCTGTCTTTCTTTCTCTCCGCTTGTTCTCGCCCCAGCAACACTGCATGCTGGCTGGAAGTGACCTTGCATGGGGAGCTATAGTTCTGAGTCCCGTCAAGCGGGGGGAGAAATGCTGCAGATGTAGAGGGAAAGGCTCTGTTGTCGGGTGTGTTTCGCTGCGGTCGTGGCGAGCTTCCTCTCGTGGCTGTTTGAATCCACTTGTTGAAAAGGACTCGCTCTGTGAGTAAACGCGGGAGAGCGTGATGAGCATTTTTCTGTTCTCCTCCGTGTGTGTGGGAGCGACGCCGACGAGAGCCTCTAGATGGCGATGTTATTCCCTGCTTCACAGCCACTCTGTGGACCCACGGTTGAGGCTGTTGTGGGTATTTGAGAGCCTGATCTATGAATGTGGCACAATCATGTATCTGCTCACATTTTCATTATCACACCGCAGGTGATGAGTGGTGTGTCAAATCAAACAGACGCGCTCTGCCTCCACATCCTCGCAGAACAAGGCTGGTATTTTGACCCCTTTTGATACGGAGGAGCCTTTTCTCTCTGTATCCTCAGTCAATTTTATCTCACAATGGGCCGATGTGCCCTAAACCAATGTTTCTCTTATAGCAGGGTGAGATCATGAAGTGGGTGGCAAGATAGAGATGAACAAAATCTTGGCCCGGGTACCGACTTCATGACCAATTTGCTGTTTCTAAAGAGACGCCGCCTGAGAAAAGACAAGCTTGTTGTGTTAAGAATATTCTCTCCTCTCGCAACTCTCTATAGAAAAAGGGGACTTTCACAGGAGACACCCCACCACGCCACACTTTATATATGTCTCTGACCCCTAATGTGCCAGCGAATCCCGGAAAGGACCAGACACCCCCACAGGCCATCGGTGCGGAAGCGTGCGCGGCACAGAACCATAGTTCACATCTCAGGCAGCTGACATCTATCGCCGGTCTGAGTCGTGGGTTCCAGAAGCGGGAATAGACAGATTTATGGTGTCATTCTCATCATGAAGGCAGGCACTCCTTATTTAATGTCCGAATACCACTTGATGTTGATCGATGGCTTTGCATATACTGTATATCTCTCTCTGTAAGCGGCAGAGATCAGACATCATATCAGTGTGAGAGAGTCATCGAAGGACATTTATGGAGAGCAGGGTTGCCGCCAATGATTATTTTCATTAATGATTAAGCCTTTGGTGCCCTCAAATTGCTTGTATACCCAAAGGTATTCAATTTACAATGATATAAACAGGAAGTCCTCACATTTGAGAAGTTGGGATACATTTGGCATTTTCTTCCTTTCTAAATGACACATTTGTGTTTCATTTTCTATCAACTTTAGTGCTTCACGCTCTTCAGTTTCCGACCTTTTTGACACGTTCTTAGAATAAAGAATTATCTACATGCAACCCTTCATCACAAGTTTTGATATGAGTGATTTTTGATTCATGAGTTGTGTTTTAAAGGTTTTTATAAGTGGAAGATTTAGCAAGAGAAAAATCAAACATTTGAGAAAAGTCAGAAAACAATCTACTTTATATTGTGTAACAACAAATTCTTGAACCGCTGGACCAATCAACATAGTTTTCCAGTGCTAGTTCAAACACCTGTTCATGGTGATTGACACCTTTGCATATATCTCTCTTTTGACGTAACATTAGATCCGCCCTGGGTCTGTCATTAAAGTGCAGTTATGGAGAGCGTGACTTTTTCTATAGTATAACTACAGGCGGATGAGACGTTGGTGAACTAGGCCAGCGGAATGGTGATAAGCATATAAGACAAAGCAGAGAGGGATAAAGCTAGAATGAGAATAGCATCTGATCATTAGAGGAGAATTGTCGGGCAGGAGCCGGGGATGGAGGGGTGAGAGGAGGAGGCTGCAGGGGTGAGGGTTAATTAGCGAATAGCAGGGTAAGGCTAAGAGGACACGGAGCACAGGCTCCTCTGCTCTTTCTGTGGAAATTAAAGGGCAAGGTGACAGGAGAAGGATCCAGGCAGAAATGATTAGAGCTTAGAGCGCGTTTCTGATCACTCAGACAACCTCGTTACGTGTCCGCCGAATTGAGCAGAGAACTCGAAAATGTACACGCAAAAAAGCCACAAAAAAACATACATAGTTTGAAAGGGGAACCAATATGCAAAGTGCACTCTGGGGATTCTCATTTTCATATTATGCAAATGTTTAGATATCACCTCTGTACCTATTTAATTTCCCTAATGACTCCAACATTACATGCACAATTGTAAGAACAATGCACAACAAGTCTTGAATGCACAAGTGAAATGTGTGTGAAATATAACTGCACAGTAAAAAAAGATACTGGGGGAATTGTTTCTCACATAACTTTATGTTGGAGGTAGGAGTGATGTTAGAGTACAGTACAATAGCCAATGTGATTGCTTTTTTCACTGTACTTCTATGGGAGGTCTCTGTACATTTTCTTAGGTGCCCTAAATCACCTGTACATCTCATCTGTCTTTTACATACCTTCAATTTCATGCTTAAAGATTAGATATGAATGATAATTTTTTTGCTACTTAATATTGAAACTATTTTATCTACGCAGAATGCTCTCAGGTCCTCAGATTTAGGATCCGAGTCAGTAATCTGTGCCCCCCCCCCCTATTTCAGGAGGCTCTCTGAACGAGTCTCATGTCTGTCTCAGTAAGGCAGTAGGACTCAGTGATCCGGGGCTATAGGAACAATAGGCAGCCACGATGATCCTATAATTCCATAATCGGCCCCATTTCTCCCGACTGAAGTGACTTAATCTCCAGTGACACCCATACATACAGTGCACAGACACACAGACACTCAAACACACACTGTTGAGCCCTGAACACCTGTTCCCAATGAAATGCCCATAGGCGTCAGTCTGATTTCATTAGAGAGACACGAGTATACTGTGTGTGTGCAACTGAAGTGAATACATGTGTTGTGTTTGCTGATTTACACAAATCATACGCATACTCAAAAACGTAAGATTTGAACAGAGCGCCATTTCATTAAGGTAAACGAGGTTCTCGGAGTTCATGTGTGGAATAGAAAACACGTCATTGAGAGAATAATCCAGAAGGTTCTAGCACATCTTGCGCATGGTCCTTTTCATCACCACACCGTTGCTCTTTTGTGTTTATGTTTCTGTCTTAATCACGAATCATTAGTCACAGTAAATATTCGAAAGTGGCTTTAAACATGTTTACTATTGTGAACTGAAGTTTGATAAATTATATATATTGGATACGAGATGTTTAAAACCCTGACATTGTAGAAATCTTAAATGATCAACTGTAACTGAAATTTGATTGAAACATTCAAGCTAATATATACGTATGCACACACACACACACACACACAGGCAACACACAGCAGTTCCACTGGGTTGATTTAGCTATTCATTTTCAGATCTTTACTGGGGACAGAGTGCGTTTACCTCTGGGGTTGAGTCCAGTGAGTCACAGTCGAGTGTGGGCAACTCATTCTTCCCTGCACCAAAAAATGAGCAGCGACTGTTGCAGTCGTCTACGGTGGTTCATTTCTCAGTAGTGCTTTCAGAAAGGCCTCGGTAAAATGTGGAAAATACTTTGGCTAAATGGCCAGATATACTGCAACAAGAAAGCCAGCAAGCTGACGGTGTTATTGTGATTATCACACACGTTGTGTCTGTGTTTTCATCTTGGAACTTAAACTTCTGTTTTCAGTCCATGAAAGTTATTTGTACCACTTTGGTCACCTAAAAATGTCTTATTCAGGGTTCCGTTGTACTTAGCCCCACCCTCTATTGTCACTTCTGGTTGCAAAAAAAACCAAGATGGCGATGACCAAAATGCCAAACTCAAGGCTTCTAAACTGTAGTCCACAAACCAATGGGTGATGTCCTGGTGACTACGTCCACTTCTTGGATACAGTCCATGTTATTTCATGCTTTCCATTACAGTTTTAATTCAGTCTCCTTGGCCAACAAAATATCTCTGTTCAGTCCTTTCGTCTTTCTCTCTCTGTCTCTCTTCAGCAGCTCTTCCTGTTGTGATGTTTCAGTTTGAGTGTGTTGGTTTCACTCTACATTGAGCATGCATGGCATACATAAACATGCCTGTGTAAAACATGAAAAGCTAGATCTGAGTGGATGCTTCTCATTGAATGTGTTGCATTTTCATTATTTCTTGTCCTTGAACTTAGCGAGATGCTCGCTTTGTAAGATGCCAGCTTTTTTTATAAATCGGTAAACAAAAAGGTAGACGTCACGCTGAGCAGAAAAACAATCATTTTCTCTCCCACCGCATGACTTCATATAAGCTGAGAGAGGAAGGAGAGAGCAGAGTTTAGATGAAATGGCTGCCTTGCTCTTTGCCAGTTGCCCATATTTATGAGTCACTGATCCATGCAGGAGGGAGAAACACAGAAACAGAGAGCATTATTCTGAGATTCAAGTGGACTTTGAATTACTGCCACACCGTTTGGCCCAGGCTACTAGAAAATCAAAGTGTTGTAGGAAATGGATGAAAAAACACAGCCTGGGTAGTTTCGTATTACTGTATTCATGAACACTGGCTGTTCCAGGTACCTTTCGTGTCCCTTTCAAACATTCCATCTTTTGATCTACTACTTCTTGCCCTGCATCAGCTTGTTTTTCAAAACATTGAATACCTAAAAAATCCCCGTTTTCAGGAGTTCTCATTTTTAGAGCCAATGCACAACTGAGGTATGCCTCACTAAACAAAAAAAACCATTTCTACATCTGGGAAATAGGTGACTCGAACTAGTTTATCAGACATGATTGAACTCTTGCAGATAAAAGACTGTTTTATTTGGTGAGCCAATAGTCAT